ATGAAAAGCTGCAAATTGTTTGTTTCTAACATCCCCGCCTCCTTGGGAAGCAACCTTGTCCTCAAGGTTGCGGCTTCTCTTGCTCTGCTCCGGGCTCCTCCGCCATCTCATCCTCCGCCTCGTCTTCCCATCTTCCCATCGTGACCAAAGGTAAACCGCTCGTCACAGTTGAAACACTTCCCTTCTCGCCTCTTCTGCTCGATCTCTGCGGGAGATAGCGTCCTAAATCCCTTGGGTGGTGGCCTCGGTCCCGCTCGAATGACAGCCGAAGGTGGGCCAGCCGCCGCACCCCCTCCCGAACTAGGGCCCGATGTGGCTGCACTCGTTCCGCCGCTCGTGCCGCTACCACTGCCTCCTCCTCCGGCCGGCTTCTGATAACGGCCTATCACTCCCCGCCAGCTAGCCAGCTCCTCCTCCTTATTACCTGCAAGACGGAAAACAGCTCGAAGTGAATCGGGCTCAAATACCCGAACAGCCGCTGCAATCTCTGGGCGGAGTCCCGCCATGCACAGACCCACCAATGTCTCCTCCGGTACGCCCTTGCACTGGTTACCCAGTTTGAAGAACTCAGCTCGATACTCCGCCACTGTCCCAGTCTGGCGCAGCTTCGCCAACTGCTCCGGGGCCCACCCTTCCGACTTGCCGAACTGATACCTCAACTCCTCCTTGAACATCGGCCAAGTAATTAGCGTCCGAGCTTCAGCATAGGTCCGCTCCATCCATTCCCACCACTGCAATGCATCCCCCTCTAAATAGAAGGACGCCAACTGAGCCTTTCGTTCTTCTCTAGTGGGATGGTTCTTGAACCACCGTTCCGCGGAGTATATCCACAGACCTGCATCCTCCCTGCCATTGAATTTTGGAAACTCAATGGTTGGAGGTTTAGCTCGGAACACCATGTCATCTTCCGCCTCACCACCTCGGGAGTAACCAGCGTGCCTCCCATATCCCGGCGCCTCACTGTGATAGTGCTGCGAGAACCGATGTCCCCCTTCATACTCCCACTCATCCTCCTCCTCCTCCTGATACCTCCTTCTTCGGCCCATCTCATTTCTTTGCCTCTGGTCACCTGTTCCTGCTCCCATGAATTCCTTACCAGTACCCTGCTGATTCACGAATGGAGGGTGAGTGCCACTGTACTCGTCGAACTGGCCCTGGGGAGCCGGAATCCCCCTGCTGCCCGTTCCCCCTGCACGTACCCGCTGCTGCCCCGGGTCGGTCCTGGTTCGACCGGGTTCGACCCATCCGGGTTCGGCCCGAGTGCTCGGGGCCCGACTCAACCCAGCTCGGCCCGCGGTTTCTCGGCCCATGGGGCTCGGCCGCCCCCTCTCCCAGCCGCGGCCCAATTCGCGCCGCCCTCCGCCTGGGCCGCCTTCCAGCCCCGCGCGGCCCATCTGGCTTCCTTCCTCCCTGTTGTAGTCCGCCCCTGGCCCACTCAACTCGTTAGGCCAGGGCCCGCGATCGTACTCCTGCTCCAAGTCCATCAACTCTTCCTCGTCTAGGCCCGTTTGCAGACCCGGATCCACGTACTCAGCCATCTTGGCCTTGCCCCGCGCGCGCGCCTTCTCCTGGGCCGAGGGGGTTGGGAGCAGCCCATCTTTGATTTTTGGGCCAAAGGAGACCTGGCCCGCACGCAACCCCAGTGGCCGGTTAGGGTTGGCCGCCGCCCCGCTCCTCTCACCCAGCCCGTCCGCCGCCGTGTTCGACGAGAGCCGTGCGGCGCCGTGGCCGCCGGGCGCCTCCACCGAGGTCGATCCCTCCCCTGGCGCGCCGTCCTCCCCGTGCAACTGGCCGCCGCCGCCAGCTTCGACCCCTGACTTCTTCAGGGCCTCCGCCAAGTCACCCACCTGCCCCGCCAGTGCCTTCACAGCCCCCGCCAGAGCCTCAAGGGTGCGGCCTTGATCCCTAGACCTCGCCTGCAGTCCCTTCAACTCTTCCTCCACTCGCGCCTGTCTCTCTGCCTGCGCCTCCAAGTCTCTCCTCAGTTCCTCATTGCCGGTCAGATCCTCCACAGCCCCATCGACCCCGTCGTCACCTGCATCGGCGCTCCTGTCACCCGCCTGGTTCGCCTTCTCCGCTTTCTCTGCTGCCTTCATGGATTTCGTCGTTACCATCGTTGATTCTCCGGTTTCTAAGCTGTCCCTGATGGAGTTGAGAAGAACTCACCGATCGGAACCGGGCTCTGATACCAGATGTTAGAAACAAAGTTTCTAACAGTTGTAGAATTGGGGAAATTAGCTAGACCAACTAGGGATTGATCAAGCTAGGGATTAGAATTTGGGAATTTAGGAAGAAGAGAAGGTGGCTGCCGATCGGCCAAGGGAAGAGAGAGAGGGAGAGAGAGCTCGGCGCTAGGGAGAGAGAGAGAGAGAGGAAGATTAGGATTTAGGTTTTCTGTAATTGATTGCTTAATGTCAAAATAACACCCTACTGCAGATTATATAATCCGCTAATCCCTAACTGCTACCCATATAATAAAATGTCACAACTAACTCCCCACTTATTGCTAAATACTCCAAATAATCCCCCATTTACTAAAAACCGACCATAATACGAAATAATGAAAAGCTGCAAATTGTTTGTTTCTAACATATTTGGAGAATTCTGTCCCTATCAATAGGGTTGAAATGAGCTTGAAGCTTGTTGCTCCTCCACGTCCTTGTATAGTTGTCAATCAATTCCGAGACCCTTGTATCCAAATTTAATCCAGCCACTGTTGATGTCAAGTTGAAATTTGGGGATGTCGGAATCCATCTTTCCCACCAAATCCTTAATACCAATTATCATGAGGTTTGATTGCTCCATATTAGCATCATTATTAGTTTGAACTTGACCACAGTAAAATGTATGCCATCACTGCACCAAATTAATTCTTGATGAATGAGGCACTAAATTCATTTACAAAATAAATTTACGTGTTTCAATTTACAAAACGCATGCCTTGACCACAGTAAAATGTATTACTACTTTTGAAAGAAAGCTAGATGTTATTTTAATACAAATTATCATAAGTTTTGATTGCTCCATATTAGCATCATTATTAGTTCGACCTTGACCACAGTAAAATGTATGCCTTCACCGCACTAAATTAATTCTTTAGATGAGTCAATAAAAAAAATATCATATATTCTATATGAGACTTTACAAGGACCACAAGGCACCAATATAGATCTACTAGAAAAATGATTAGCTACAAGAGCCTTTATCATTTATGAATTGATAAAATTGTAACGTGACCAACTCAAAACAATATAGTATCATAAATCATAATCCTATTAAATTATCACTTTTCCAAAAGAGATCTATTTTATGACCTTAAAAAGTATAAAAAGATCGACTCACCCAATAAAATATATGTATTTTCTAAAAATATGAGGAAAGAGAACCGGGTGAGGTCCTTAATTAAAACTAAAAAATGATTAGTGCATGCACTTGGTTGTGGGCATATGTCCCAAGTGGGACTTAATTAATCGAATTTCAACTTAATAAAAATAGGGGCATTCCGAGAATCGAACTCGGGACCTCTCGCACCCGAAGCGAGAATCATACCACTAGACCAAATGCCCTTCGATGTCATATTTTGTCTTAACTTATTTATCATACAAATACTATACAACACCACCGCACTTGCTTTATATTATATGCATATAATTATATGTGTTGAGCATTGTCACGTAGCAATTTGTCATGTAACGGCGACCTTACATATATATATCAAAGGAAGGAAGGAAGGAAGGATTATGGTTGGGATAAAGTGGTCGGCAGTTTTCTATTCCATGCGCCAATGTGGAAAGACGATATCAGAAGTAGGATCGCATTCTGTAAATGCCCAGCCCAGTAGTAGGATTTGCCAAGTTTTATTATTTCCTAGAGAAGTTTGATAATTTCCTTGTAAGGTCATCTAACTTTTGTAGCGTATCTCCTATTAATTAGCTTATGTTTCAGCAGGTAGCTAGTAGCTACTAGCTAGGCTAGCAAATGTCCAAAATCAGTGGAGAGTGCGACAATTCCTAGTTGGAACCAAAAAAACTACCATAACGACACCGATCTTTACAACTTTTGGGGTACTCGATTAGGTGGGGGCCTTCAAATTATATATGATCAGTCACTGAACTTTGGGTGCCGCACCAAAACGAGTACCGAACTTTGATTTGCACTTCTTATCGCGTATTCACAATTGAACAATATGACAAAGAGGGTCGTGGTATGGCTTTCGCCACCGGTCGCCTTCTACGGCGGTTTGGGTTCCTGTGACCGTTTATCAAGGGTAAGTAGTATGCACACCTTATACATGTGTTATCAATTATCAAACTTATAGAATGAACTTGAAGTTTGGAGTAATTAATAAAATCACTACCTTATGTCTTTATCTATCATTGTCAAATTTTGCCACCAAATTAGCATGTCTAACTTAACCAAGCTAATACCGAATACGATACCATACAACTCTAATTAACAATTGCTCAAGAGGATCAAGAAGGTTTCGATGTTACTCATAATAATTATAGCAATGGATTTGGTTTCGATCGGCTATGGGGTTAATTAGGGCAACAATGGACTGATTAAGTACTTGAGTGAGTTAATTTCAAAAATTCACTCTCAAACTAGTTAAAAATGAAAGTCGGCTGACTGATTTGCCATAATAGACCCAAAGTTGAGTTGCCTTTTACGTAATCGATCCTCGACAAAATTGGTCGTGGCCCTTGCTGGATTTATTTGTCAGCTTATAGTCGCCACAGCCACTATCCAAAAATCCATACATCTCAATCTTAATTTGGTGGAGCCGATAATAAGAAAAAGAAAAGAACAATTCGCATAGATTCTGGTCCCTTTCAATACCCACGCCCGTTATAAATCCGTTCATTAAGTGTAGTTATTATGTTGCTTCATTACATTGTAATCACAAAGGCCCTCTCCAAAACTCTACTAGTCAAGCACCTTTCATAACTCAAGCTGCTCATTTTCGGCTAATTAAGTTAGTCGACTAAGTGTCTAGCTAAATGGCAGCCAACTCGTCCATGAATGCAGTTCGAGCCTCGACGGTGTTGGTGATCGTGTTAATCGTGTTGTTTGCGGATGTGAATCATTCAGAAGCATTAAGATACAAAGAGGTTAGTATGCGTAACAAAAGGATCGTTAGCACATTGCTTTTGAAGGAATTAGAGTATCATGGGGTTAGGGTCAAGCGCATTAGTAGAAGGATGGCGGTGACGGAGTCGGCGGCGGATAGGGTTTCGCCCGGAGGACCGGATCCGGAGCACCATTGATCAACGATCGGACCTAGAAGAGACAATGTTGCCGGCTCAATGTGGGGTTTGTTGGATGGCAAAATATAGTAGCCCTAGCTTTCAATGTCTTTCCTCCATTGTTAAATTATTATATTGAGTCAAATTTTGATCCATGCTTGGATACTGCTGTGGATTTGACCAAGCCACTGTAATTGTTGGCTAAGCATGTTAGTCTCGCCACTTATTATTTAGTAAAATCTAAGAAATTGCTTTTGTTTACAACACGAATTTATTTTAATTGATTTATCCATATTGATCCACCTAATTAGCATTGGGCCCAGCCCGTTGGCCGGCATCATCTAGTCTAGATAATAAATAAAAGCCGAATGATGAAAACTGTTGCTCCATTTCAAATTTCCTGCAACGAGAGTGATTATAGGAAGGACATTTTGGTCTTCACAATTGCTTATTTTCTTATTTATTTATTCATAAAAAGGCATGCACTGGGATTTGAACCTTGGTCTCTTTAAAGGCAAGCAAGGATCATAACCAATCACACTAAGTATATTTGTTGTATCTATTTAAATTCAAACATACACGAACCTAAATTATGAAAATCATATGACTTTTTTAACGATTAGTTGGCCACTGAATCTCCCGTAAGTACTTATTTGGTGTTTTAATACTTTGATTATTTTAGTTGTAGTTTAATACTTAATTTAAATTTCTATCTATTTTATAAATATACAATAACCCTAAAATTGCAGCCCAAATATCACTGGTTCGAATATTGCATATCGAATTGCAATATTAAACATGTAGAAGCAATTCGACTTCTTAAATTAATATTATTTTTCAGAATTACTATGGAGAAATTATATCTTTGTGCAAACTATATGAGACTGGTTCTTTTAATGTTTTAGTCGGGATAACCGCTACATTTTAAACTTCTTCATAATCTGGCATGATTGCATCCAATGATCATTATACAAGATTGTGTTTAATAGGGTGGCTCATTTCACCACTTTTGGCGTGTTAATGAATTTGTAGGACAATGACAGGTCTACATCTACACTCATCACAATCTACACATCATATAAATGTGAAATGTGAAATGAGAAAAGAGGGATTCCATTTCAAATTTGATGCGTACAGAGCAATTTTGTAGGGGTAAATTTAGAAGATGCCAGTGCGGTCGGTCTGTTGAGCACGAAAGTAAAAATATGTTTTCATTTAAACGGGCCCAAACTGTTATTTGGCCCACTAATCGTGCACCCATCGCCAATGCAGTCAAATTCGGGATTTTGATCGTAAAATCGTAGGATTTTAGGATTTTACTTAGGGATTCCGATCTTGATTTTACTATAAAATCGGTGGACCTTAAAATCGTTTAAAATCGGGACTAAAATCGTTAAAATCATAAAATAGTACCGAAATCGGGATTTTGATCGTAAGAGAACAAAATAGGTGGTTTGAGCCAATTTAAAATAAGTATAACTGTTTCAGCGGAAAGGGCAATGGAATCTTCTCAGATATTTTTCTATTAGAAAAATATTCAAAAATAATAAAAATAACCAAATTAGGGTTCGGTTAATCTCTTTCCCTTCACCCCATTTAACTTATTGGTAAAACACCTGTCCTAATATTGGAAGTATGTAAGAACTAATATCATTATTAACTAATTAATTTATTAATGAATATATTTGTACCAAGCCACTAACATTACTTATTTTATTGGAGTTCAATTATTTTTAGTTTTAAATCATACTTAGTACACGATGTCGAAATATTACTTTGAGTTAAACAACCTAGACATAACATGAAAATAAGAGCCAAACCCATGAACTATATCCCTTCATCATGAATTATTTTGAGTTACACATTAAATAACAATTAAAATAGTGATTTTGGAACATTAATCTTGAGAATTATCTTATGGAAAAAAAATCTTCTGAATTATCATTTTAAATGCTATGTGTCTTTGTGATATTAATAATTTACCTTATTAATATTCTTATATGCTATGTTCTATATGGTACTTAAAATCCTACGATTTTACGATTCGATTATACGATTTTGATTTTACCCCAGTTTTCGATTTTAGGTAAAATCTCGATTTTAACTGCTTTGCCCATCGCAGCCTCTCCAAATCTTCCTATTCTACTCGCCGGGTCATCTCCTCCACTACAAAATATCTCCTCGTGTACTCAAAGTTCTCACTGAAACCTAATATCTACAACTTAGGCGTAGAGGGAGCAACCGATGGATTGTAGCGACTCCAATATTTTGATAGCTAATCAAGAAGAGCGCGTTTGTTTAGTTGTATGGTGATTCACTTAATTAACAATTTTTATTCCGTTGACAGCCTTCTCTCCGCAATTGTATTGTGTTCACGAAGATTTGATGGCGCAAGTGCAACAGGTCCAGGGGTAAACAATATGTATAAAGCGTTGGCCAAATTGAATTGAGTCATTCTACTTGGAATATGAAGATTTTTGCTTAATTGCTTTGGTTCGTGATGCAACTATATTATGTTTGAAGGTAGACCAACGCAAACAACAGCACAGCTCCAGGGCTATTCTGCACATTAGGTAGTTGGGGCATTAATTGATAATTATTTGGGATTATTCCTACAAGTACATAATTTGGAACGTGCCTTTATATTGCATTGATTAATAGTTGTTTGAGATTTTTCAAATGAGTGATTTGACATGTTAAACTCTCTTATTTTTGAAAATGGAGTCTTCGAAGTGGAATATGAAGATTTTGGATTAAGCTTGGTTTCGTAACGCCCTTATGGGTGTTTATTCTCTAAAATGCAGCTGTCTTTCAAAGTGCCCGTTGCAAATGGCAAGTCAGGATACAACGATGGTACCGGTACACGTTTATATCATTAGTAGGTAGCAGATTGTGTCCATTCTACTATATCATTTAGCTAAATACTTAGTTGTTCTTTTCAACTAAAAATTATGCTTAAATGCTGTGATTGGCCTCAGAAATGTATGTCTTTACATTAACTGTTAATGATTGTGAGTTTTGGTTTAATGGTGAAAAGTCCATTTATTTAGAAGTCTAAATTGGGCAAACCTATTGGACAATAGGAATGCCATACATTAGTGTCGTGGGAGGTTTGTTTGATGTCTCAGGGTGTTAGATTTTTAAGAAGGTTGTTTGTTGTGGCAGAGAGTCCCTAAAGCTAGCGAGGTATTCCTATGTGGGCTTTTTCTTTGTTTGACCTTTTCTCGCCTTTTTTCTTATCTCTTTTTCTATTTTTGGTTTTTGTGTGCTACCTTCAGTTTCTACGTCTTCATTTGTGAGCCATCTATACTTTTCTTATTCAGTGCCTAAAAATCATATATACTCGATTGCATAGTAGTTACTAATAGATACATTTATACCAATAGAGAGATTTTAAGTTTTATCAGTTGTTAGTTTTAATATTTACTTACATTGGTTGTTTATGTAGTTTTCTTTGTAATATTTCTCATTATACAACTAATTACTATGGCTACGTAGTTGTATAAGTGGGGGTTGGACATGATAGTTCTTAGAAGCATCAATACTTGAAGGTTATTATAATGACCAAATTCTAAAGTTATGGTTTGCCTTCAACTTGCTTGGAGCATTTCAATTATGCATCAATTGTTCTCTCCGTGTAGTTAACTCTCAGACAAATCGAAAATCTTGCTGATATGTGCTTGATTGTAGTTAAATTTAGGGTTCTACTGCATTGTTGCTTTACTCTTTTTTCGTGGTTGAGTCTGCTTCAAAAAATTTAGTTTGATTTTAGAAAATTTTGCTTCTGCAGTCCTGTCTTGCCACCAACGCGTTCAATAGATGGAGACGGGAGAGGCGAAGGCTATTTTTGTGTTGTTGTTGCTGGTTTAGGGATCGGTTTGTGAATAAGAGGGAGAAGAGAGGGGGAAAAGGAAATGCAGGAGAGGGGGATAACTCTTTTCTCCGACAAAAATGGAGTGAAGAAAGGAATTATGATCAGTAAGAATATGGTTATCTTACATAACGGTCTCTATTCTGTTTGAATTAAGCTTGAGAGGCAGTGATAAGGACGAGCTGCAACCAATTCATAGTGAGAAGAGAGCTATGAACTGTGATCATGTCTTATTTCAAGTTAGAAGGTAGTTTCAGTATAAGGATTATTTAATTTGACAAGTTGTTTCGTCCATGATTCTTGGTAGTTCCAGTATCATTCTAGCCAATGTTTAGTCTGTAATTTTTGAGAATTGATGTGCGAGTAATGACTTTCACTTAGCTTCAACTATTATGTGTGTATTTATTGGCATGTGATAGAATTCTCTTTTCCTTTTCATTGAATTCATTTTCATACTCTAATTGTATTATTTGTACATAGGCAAATCATGCTCGAGATGGCAACTCGCTGATATGGTTGGTGCAAGGAATGAAGCCATCATTAGAATTCAGACTGACAACGGGGAGGGATGCCCAGGACTAACAGCCTGTTTGGATTGACAAAAAAGTAAGGAATTGGAATTCCATTTCCATTATATTATGTTTGGAATAATAAAAAGGTTGAGAATTGAATTCCAATGGGTCTAAAATATGAGAATTAAAATTCCTATCAAAAGTGATAGGAATTGAGAGAATGAAGATGGAATTAGTGGGACCCATCAATACTTTTTATTATTTTGTTGACCCACTATCATATTAGTCTCTTTCTCTCTCATTCATATTTCATTTCCCAAAATAAAACAAACATATTACATTATTCATTATGGTTAAAAGTGCAATTCATTTCCATAGTTGTAGGAATTATACCAAACACTAGAATTGGAAATGGAATTCTATAAAAATAAAAAATTGAATTCCATTTCCATTTCTTCCGGAATTGTATCCAAACAGGCTGTAATTCAATGATGATTGATGATGGTATAATAAAAACTGCAGTCTGCATCAGCACCAATTTCTAGGCCTAAGTAAAGGTATTCAACCCAGAACTCTGCTTAGCGCTAAAAATTGCCCTCACCCAACCTTGATCCTATTTGACCCACTTCTGAAGAGTC